TTCTATAAAAATGTCAAGCTATTGGCTCCTTTAATCGAGATTAGTTGGCAGCTGGCTGGGAACACGTTGCCTGCTTAACTTTTTTGGTCTAATCAAAGGTTGGTCTTGATTCTAAATGTTTTTTTTTTTATTAGTTACAATTTTTCACTCTTTTAAAGATTTTTTTTATTTATTCATTTATGAGAGAGACAGAGAGACACACACACACACAGGCAGAGGGAGAAGCAGGCTCCATGCAGGGGGCCCGATGTAGGACTGGACCCCGGGTCCCCAGGATCACGCCCCGGGTCAAAGGCAAGCGTTAAACCACTGAGCCACCCCGGGATCCCCTTGATTCTAAATGTTTTTTAATCAGTCCTTCAGTGGCCAAGTGAACTGATTGGAAGGTCTTGCCCCAAAATGCTGAAACTGAATGCCTTTGAGTTTCTATTGTTCTTCACGGCCCTTGCTCTTCCAAATCATGCTTATCTGTTTTGACTTTCCAGTGTTTTCGGTGGGTGAGGCCACCATGGCCAGATTTCATGTCCAGATTTCACCTGGAAGAGGCAGGATGAAGCTAGTGGGAACTGTAGCAGCCTAAAACACCAGTTTTTGTTTGTTTTTTTTTTTTTTTTTTTTTAATGGAGCCTCTCCTTCCTGAGCTGTCAACTACTCCCAGGGGAAATCCGAGTCCAGTGAGTATTGAGACTGATTCATAGCTGTGGTCCCAGGGCCTGGCTCAGGACCTGGCACATAGTAGGACCTCGACACGTATCTGTTGAATGATTACATGAAAGGTCTTGCGGGACCTCTGAGATCACCTGGTCTGTGTCTCTCATTTTCTAGGTGAGGTGTCATAGCTCAGAGAGGCGAAGTACTTGCCCACGTTTGCATGGCTAGCCGACGGTAGAGCTGGCTTTCCTGATGCTGTTTTCTCCTTTCTACACGCCTCTGAAATAGAATGGTGAGATTTTTATTTTTTATTTTTATTTTTTTAAAGTAAGCTCCACACCCAATGTGGGCTGGCGCCACCCCGAGATCGAGCCACGTGCTCTACCAACACAGCCAGCAGGGGCCCTGGAAGGTGAGATGTGTGAGTACTGCCTTGGTGTCTGTTCTGTTTGCGCATCTGGATCTGGCTGTGTCCTTAGCAGGACGGTCCTCGGGCTCTGGGAGTCAGCAGAGCAGGCCCAGGAACCCGCTTAGCGCCTAGAGAGCCTGGCAAACTCAGCACCTTCAACCCTCCTTCTCTTCCCTTTATTTATTCATGAGACGCAAAGAGAGAGAGGCAGAGCCACAGGCCAAGGGAGAAGAGGGTGCCCTGCGGGGAGCCTGACGCAGGGCCCGATCCCGGGACCCCGGGGTCACGCCCCGAGCTGCAGGCAGGCACTCAGCCGCTGAGCCCCGCGGCATCCAGGTTGGACACTATTTTATATCTTAACCTACTGGGTTAGTTTTCAGTTGCTGAGTGACAAATTACCACAAACTGAAGGGCTTAAACGAAACCCACTGATAAACCTGCAGGTCGGAATTCGGGGTGCAGAAGCGCTGGGGTCTCGGCCCAGGCCCCCCCCAGGCAGTGGGGTCTCGGCCCAGGGTCCCCCAGGTGCTTGGGTCTCGGCCCAGGGCCCCCCAAGGCAGTGGGGTCTCGGCTCAGGGCCCCTCCAGGTGGTGGGTCTCGGCCTGGGCCCCACCCAGGTGCTGGATCTTGGCTCAGGGCCCCCCCAGATGGTGCGTCTCGGCCCAGGGCCCCTTCAGGTCATGGGGTCTTGGCTCAGGGCCTCCCCAGGTGCTTGGGTCTTGGCCCAGGGCCCCTCCAGGCGCTGGGGTCTTGGCCTGAGCCCCCCAGGTGCTCAGGTCTCAGCCCAGGGCCCCCCCAGGTGGTGGGGTCTCGGCTCAGGGCCCCCCCAGGTGCTTGGGTCTCAGCCTAGGGCCCCCCAGGCGGTAGGTCTCGGCTCGGGGCCCCCCCAGGTGCTGGGCACTGGTGGGGTGGGCCTCACCTGAGGCCTGAGGGCCCCCCAAGCTCATGTGGTTGGGGCAGGTTCCCTTCCTGTGGCTGTGGGCTGGTGGGGGTGTGCCGTGCAGCTCCAGGGTGCTGGCACTGGCACCCTGAGGCCCCCTCCGCCCCCAGGGCAGAGGCCCCACTTGCAGTCGCTCTCGGGAGCCCCAGGATTTCAAGCTCTGCCTTCCGTTCCTGCCGCTGGCCAGAGGACGCTGCTCTTCCAGGGCTGGTGACTGGGTCGGGTACCCCGACACCTTCCCTACCCGAGGGCAACAGGTGACCCGTTCCAAGGCACCACCCCCTCCTCACAGGGTCCCCTTCGCACAGGGGCAGCGCCGGAGGGGCAAGGTCGTCTGGGGCCCATCTCAGAAGTCTGCCTGGCGCCGACCTAACAAGCCCATTGCCCTGTGTCCTTCTTTCCCCTCCGTTCAGGGGCACCGTCCTTCTCCCTCAGTGGATTAGCAAGACGGGGACGCGGCCGCTGTTTTCTGGCCTCTGGTTTTCAAAGTCCCAGGCCCCTGGTCGAGCTCAGGGGATGCCTAGAGAGGTAAAACGGAGGAGGGACTTGTGCATGAAGACAAAGTGCTTCTAGAATTGAATCAAAGAGCTTCTAGAAGCGAACGGAATCGTAGGCAGCCTCGAGAAAGACTTCTGCATTCAGGGGACGGGAGCGGTAAGCTGCTGCGCCTCAGATGGCCACACGAATGGGGACAACAGATGGCACAGCAGAGAGATTTGTGCCCCCCCAACCCCCCCACTCCCAAATACCAAAGAATGGCACCAAAATGGGGAGACAGGGTAGTCCCAAGGAGGTCCGCTTCCCGCCGGCTGCAGAATGGAAGCCTCGGGGCACGAATGACACTGGGTCGCAGAAAATAAAATTAGGCTTCCTGAATATCTGGTTGTGTGGACCGGGATTCATACTCCCCACACGAGAAAAAAGATGAAACGGCACTTTAGGAAAAATATACGGGACCCCTGGGGGGCTCAGCGGTTGAGCATCTGCCTTGGGCTCCGGACGTGGTCCTGGGGTCCTGGGATCGAGTCCTGCGACTGGCTCCCCGCCGGGAGCCTGCTTCTCCCTCTGCCTGCGTCTCTGCCTCTCTCTGTGTGTGTCTCTCATGAATAAATAAATAAATTTGTTTAAAATAAGGAAAAACATGCTGAAGACGATAGATAGATGTCGATTCAGAAGGTGTGTATGCATGTGTGTGTACGGGTGTGGATATAAAAACAGCAATAGTGATAGACACACGCACATACAGGGTAGGCACATGTACGTGTCTATCAGCTGTGGTGACATATATCCTCCTAGATATACTTTTATGTAGCATTTTATGCTTTTTACTTTTTTTTATTATTCATTAGAGAGAGAGAGAGAGGCAGAGACACAGGCAGAGGGAGAAGCAGGCTCCCTGCAGGGAGCCCGACATGGGACTCAATCTCGGGTCTCCAGGATCCCGCGCTGGGCCGAAGGCGGCGCTAAACCGCCGAGCCACCCGGGCTGCCCTGCTTTTTACTTTTAATATTTCATTTAATCATTGCTGTGTAACTGACAACAGATTTATGATTCAAACTGAAATCAAACAGAATGCCTGGTTCTTGGGTCTCGTGGGTTGAACTGGACTGAGCAGAGAACCCCCGAGGGTGGAGTTCATATCCAGACCCCAAGTCCTGTGCTGTACCTCCAACCCTCCAGGTGGAATAGGTTAAAAGAACACGGAGCAGCTCCACAGGGAGTTGCCTCACTGATGGAGACGTGCTGTCGGGGACAGGCCATCTTCGTGCCCCTGTGACTGTGTCACGGGCAGACAGCCCGCAGGTTTTCTCCAGCACCAGCTAGACATTCAATCAGGAGGAGTGTTTGAGACCTGCTGCCTGGCAGGAGGAAGACCTGTGAGGTGTTTGGGGCCCAGCAGAGTGAGCTGGGTTCCTCTCTGCTCTCCCCGTCTGAGAGGTGGCCTTGCTCTGCAGTGACCCACCTGGCAAAAGTCCTCCTACATTCAATAAATCCCCCCTTTCCTAACCTTTCCATTTTAGTGCATAGCACACTCGTAAAGTACTGATATTAAGTGCACAACTAATGAATTTTTTTACACGCATATACCCCTGACCCCGTACCGAGACCAAAATATAGGACACTTTCTACCCCCCACCTTCCAGAAGGTTCTATCTTTCCCTTTCCCACTTAATACCACCCAGAGGTAACCACTGTCCTAACTTCTACCACTGTCAGCTTCTCCTGTTGGGACTTCGAAATGAAATCATACATTACTCTTCTTTTGCACTTACCATCTGTCACTCAAATGAATTTCTGTGACATTTATCCTCATATCATACCATTATTTCTTTATCCATTCATCTGTTGATGGACATCTGGGCACTTTTCATGGTTTTGACTATTGTGGACATGGCTGCTATAAACATTGGGGTGCAGGTGTCCCTTCAGATCACTGCATTTGTATCTTTGGGGTAAATCCCTAGTAAAAACCCATGCAACGGCTGGGTCGTAAGGTAGCTATATTTTTAATTTCTTGAGGAATCTCCATACTGTTTTCCAGAGTGGCTCCATCAGCTTGCATTCCCACCAACAGTGCAAGACGGTTTCCCTTCCCCACATCCTTGTCAACACCTGTTGTTTCCCGACTTATTACTTTTCGCCATTCTCACTGGTGTGAGGTGGGATCTTGTGGTTTTGATTTGTAGTTTCCCGATGCCGATTGATGTTGAGCATTTGTCTACGTGTCTGTTGGCTATTTCTATGTCTTCCTTGGGGAAATGTTTGTACATGTCTTGTATCCATTTCTTGACTGGATTATTTATTTGGTTTCTTGGGTGTGGAGTTTGATAAGTTTTTTATAGATTTTGGATGCTAGCCCTTCACCTGATAAGATATTTGCAAATATCGTCTTCCATTCTGCTAGTTGTCTTTTAGTTTTGCCAACTGTTTCCTTTGCGGTACAAAACCTTTATAATCTTGATGAAGTCCCAACAGTTCATCTTTGCTTTGTTCTCTTACCTTTGGAGACATGTCTTCCAAGAAGTTGTTGAGGTCAAAGTCGAAGAGGGTGTTGCCCGTGTTCTCCTCTAGGATTTTGATGGATTCTTGTCTCACATTTAGGTCGTTCATCCATTTTGAGTTTATTTTTGCATGTGGTGTAAGAAAGCGGTCCGGGTTCATTCTTCTGCACACGGCTGTCCAATTTTCCCAGCACCATTTGTCGAAGAAACTGTCTTTTTTTTCAATTGGGTATGCTTTGCTACTTCATCAAAGATGAGTTGACCATAGAGTCGAGGATCCATTTCTGGGTTTTCTGTTCTGTTCCATTGATCTATGCGTCTGCTGCTGTGCCAGTTGCATGCTGCCTTGATGACTAATAGAGCTTAAAGTCCAGAATCACGATGCCTCCAGCTTCGTTTTTCTTTTTCAACATTTCTTTGGCTATTAAGATTTTTTTTTCTGTTTCCACACAAAGTTCTGTGAAAAATGCTGGTGGTATTTTATTAATAGGGATTGCATTGAATGAATAGATTGCTTAGAGTAACATAAGCATTTTAACAGTATTTGTTGTTTCAACTCATGAGCATGGAATGTTTTTCCTTTCTTTGTGTTTTCCTCAATGTCATTCATAAGTGTTCTATAGTTTTCAGAATATAGATCTTTTACTACTTTGGTTCGGTTTATTGCTAGGTATCTTATGCTTTTGGATAAAATAGTAAATGGGATCAATACCTTGATTTTTCTTTCTTCTGCTTCATTATTAGTGTGTAGAAATGCAACTGACTTCTGTGCATTGATTTCTGTATCCCATGACTTAGCCGAATTCCTGTGTCAGTTCTAGCAATTTTTTGGTGGAGTCCTTTGGATTTTCTATGTAGAGTATTATGCCATCCACGAAGAGTGAAAGTTTAACTTCTTCCTTACTAATTTGTATACCTTTTATTTCTTTTTGTTCTGTGATCGCTGAGGCGAGGACTTCTAGTACTATGTCGAACAACAGTGGTGAGAGTGAGCATCCCTGTCATCCCCATTGAGAATGATATTCACTGTGGGTTTTTTGATATGCCTTTTATGATTTTGAGGTATGTTCCTTCTATCCCTACACTGCAGAGTTTTTATGAGGAAAGGACACTGTATTTTGTCAAATGCTTTTCCTGCATCTATCTATTGAGAGAACCATAGGCTTCCTATCCTCTCTTTGATTAATGTGGTATATCACACTGATTGATTTGCAGATGTTGAACCACCCTTGCAGCCCAGGAATGAATCCCACTTGGTCATGGTGAATCATCCTTTTAATGTACTGTTGGATCCTATTGGCTAGTAGCTTGGTGAGAAATTCTGCATCCATGTTCATCAGGGATATTGGTCTGTGATTCTCCTTTTTCGTGGGGTCTTTGTCTGGTTTTGGGATCAAGGTAATGCTGGCCTCATAGAATGAGTTTGGAAGTTTTCCTTCCATTTCTGTTTTTTGAAACAGCTTCAGGAGAATAGGTATTCATTTCTCTTTACATGTTTGGTAGGATTCTGCTCGGAGGCCATACAGACTGGACTCGTGTTTTGGGAGATGTTTGATTACTGATTGAATCAGTAATCATTGCTGGTTATGGATCTGTTCAGGTTTCCTGTGTCTTCTTGTTTCAGTTTTTGGTAGCTTATGTTTCTAGGAATGCATCCATTTCTTCCAGATTGCCTCCTTTGCTGGCATATAATTGCTCATAATATTCTCTCTAGAATTGTTTGTATTTCTTCAGTGTTGGTTGTGATCTCTCCTCTTTCATTCGTGATTCTATTTATTCAGGTCCTTTTTTCTTTTGGATAAGCCGGGCTTGGGGTTTATCGATCTTATTAATTGTCTCAAAGAACAAGTTTGGTTGATCTGTTCTACTGGTTTTTGATTTCTATATCATTGATTTCTGCTTTACTCTTTATTATTTCTCTTCCCTGGCTGGATTTATGGTTTTTTTATTTGCTGTTTTTTTTTTTCTCCAGCTCCTTTAGGTTCAAGATTAGGTTGTGTATTTGAGACTTTTCTTGTTTCTCGAGGAAGGCCTGTATTGCCATACACTTACCTCTCCCGCACTTTGCTGCATCCCAAAATTTCTGAACTGTTGTGATTTCATTTTCATTTGCTTCCATGTATTTTTTAAATTCTTTCATTTCTGGCTGACCCATTCATTCTTCAGCAGCATGCTTTTTAACCTCCACATATTTGTGTTCCTTCCAAAGTTTTTCTTGTAGTTGATTTCAAGTTTTAAAGCACTGTGGTCTGAAAATATGCATGGTATAATCTCAGTTGAGATCTGTTTTGTGACCCCGTATGTGATCTCTGGAGAATGTGCCATGTTCACTTGAGAAGAGTGTGTATTCTGGGACTTTAGGAGGAGATGTTCTGAATATATCTGTGAAGTCCATCTGGTCCAGTGGGTCAATCAAAGGACTGGTGTTCTTGTTGATCTGTTCAGATGGTGTCCTCATTGCTGAGTGGGGTGTTAAATTCCCCTACTATTATTGTATTGTTATCAATGACTTTCTTTAATTTTGTGATTAACTGGTTTCTGTATTTGCCTGCTTCCAAGTTAGTGGCATAAGTATCTATAATTGTTAGATCTGCTTGTTGGATAGACCCTTTTAATATGATAGGGTGTCCTTCTTCATCTCTTATTGCAGTCTTTGGTTTGAGAAGGAGGGCTACTCCAACTTTTTCCTTGATGTCCATTGGCACGATAAATGGTTCTGTGCCACCTCACTTTCAATCTCTCGATGTCTTTGGTTCTAAAATGAGTCTTTTGTAAGCAGCATATTGATGGGTCTTTTTTTTTAATGCATGATGATACCCTATGTCTTTTGATTGGAGCATTTAGGCTACTTACATCCAGAGTCATTATTGAAAGATATGAATTTAGTGCCATTGAATTACTTGGAAAGTTTCTGTTCCTGTAGATTTGTCTCTATTCCTTTGTGGTCTTTGTTGCTTTCGGGCTCTCTTTGCTCAAAAGACCCCCCTTTAATATTTCTTGTAGGGCTGGGTTAATGTTCACAAGTTCCTTTAGTTTTTGTTTGCTCAGGAAACTCTATCTCTCCCTCTCTTCTGAGTGACAGCCTTGCTGTATAAAGTATTCTTGGCTCCATTTTCTTTCCATGTAGCAACTTGAATATATCATGTCAATCCTTTCTGGCTGCCCGGTCTCTGAAGACTGCCAGCCTTATATGTCTAGGTTAAGGGCCTCTTGTCTTGAGCTGCTTTTAGGATTCTGTGTATCTTTGACATTTGCAAGTTTCATTATTATATGTTGAGGTGTTGACCTATTTTTATTGATTTTGAGGGAGATTTTCTGTTCGTACTGGACTTGATTGCTTGTTCCCTTCCCCGGATTAGGGGAGGTTCTCACCTATCATTTGTTCAAAGAAACCTTCTGCCTCTTTCTCCCTTTCTTCATCTTCTGGGATTCCTATTATCCATATATTATTTCTCCAAGTCTCCCTTCATGATCCAGTAGTAGTCTTGTTCTCTTCTTTTCAGCTTCCTTATTGTCCATCATTTTATCTCCTATGTCTCTGTCTTTGGTGTCTGTTTATCCTTGTCATAGCTTCCATTTGGGACTGCATCTTGGTAATAGCATTTTCAATTTTAGCCTGACTAGATTTTAGTTTTTATTTCTACAATAAGGGATTCTCTAGTGTCTTCTATGCTTTTTTCTAGCCTAGTTAGTATCTTTGTAATTTTCTTTTTAAAATTCTAATTCAGACATCATATCCATATTGATTAAATCCCTACCAGTGAGTATTACATCTGTTCTTTCTTTGGAGCAAATTTCTCCATTTTGTCACTTTGTTCAGAAAAGAATAGAAGAAAGAAAGAGAAAAGACAACAATAAGAACAATGGTAATAGAAAAAAAAATCCAAAACAAACCAGAAAGAAACAAAATCAAAACAAGAAAGAAAACAAAACAAAGCAGAAAACTAGATGCTGGGCATGTTTTCATCTCTTGTTACAAGAAACTAGATCCGAAAATGGGAAAGAAAGAAAAATTGATATATACATATGTTAATAAAATAAAATACAATGGAAGGAAACCAAAAATAACATATATAAAAATAAACAAAGAATAACAAAAGAATTGAAAAGATAAGAAAATAGCTGAAAAAATAATACTGAAACCCTAACAAATACCCCCTACACACTGTATACACTATTTTCCATAAGAGCTGAAGTGCTGCGGCCCTCTGTGATGGGTTAACCTGGTGGCAGCCAGTTGTTTGTGCTGGAATTCTGGGGGAGGGCCCTGCTGTGCTGCCTCTCGTGTGCCCTTACCCTTGTGGAAATGGGCTTCACTTTCCAGGGCGCCAGGCTCAGTGCAAGCGGCTTCGAATTCTGCTTGGGCCTGTCTTGCTCCCTGGAGGCTCTAAGCAGTGGTCGGCGGCCTCCACTCTGTAGCCCCGGAACTGAAAGTTTGCACCTCCCTCTCGTCAGTGAGTTACTCACAGCAAAGCAATGACTCCCTGGTTTCTGTCCAAGCTCTGTGTTTACCTAACCTGTGACCAAGTGTTTTTATCTCAGCTAATCAACTGAGTTTCAAGAGTCAAATTTTATGGACTCCTGGGGCACAGATCTGTGCTGTTCCTCTGGGCGGGGGTGGGGGGGGGGTCCTCGCGCTTTTGCCTTTTGCTGGGCTCCTGCTTGGAGAGCAGTCCTTCCAGCATGCAGTGGTTTGCAGTTTATAGCAACAGACAGTAGAAAGCTGGCACCTGGATTCAGTGGTTTTAGCTAGCCGCCCTGCTCCTGTGCCTGGGAACTGTGCCACTCAGACACCCCTATGCTTCTCGTGACCCCTGGGGCCCTAAGACCATACTGTCCCCCCCGGGACTCCGCCCCACTTCACCTCCGGAGCACTGTTAAGCCAGGGACATTGCCCACTGTAGTGGAGTTCCCAAAGTTCTGTTTGATAACTATCTCGCCGAATGCGTGGAACAGGTGAACGTAGAGCCCCCTATTCCTCTGCCACCTTAACTCCTCCCTGCAGTGTAAAAACTCTTAAGCTGCTGTGTTGTCTTGCATTATAGGAGTGTACCACGATTTATTTA